AAGAGACTTCTAGCCTGTGTATGAAAACCTGGGAAACCCACGCTGCAAAGCAAATGCAGTTTGTGCCTTAATCTGCCAGCCTATTTATCACTCAGGATGAGAATTTGTTAGTTCATATCCTATCTTTCTAGTATCTTAGACTTAGTTTGCATTTTATTTATTTACTAGGTAATCTGCTTTGATCTGTTTGCTATCACTTATAATCACTTAAAATCTATCTTTTGTTAAGTTACTACATTAAAATATGTTTTAATCCAAACCAGCGAGCTTTGACTGGAGTGCTTGGGGAAAATCTTGGCTTGATTATCACAAGTATGCATTGGTCTCTTCACATTGAGGAAGAGGCAAACCAGGTATTAAACCCATATACTGGACAGATTTGACTAGGGAGGATGGTACTGCCCTGGGGTCCTAGGCTGGGAAGCTGGTGGTTAGAGAGCCTGCATGTAACTGCAGCTGGGTGTGTCCCTACCTGTGTTAATGCTGGTGAAAGTGTTGGCTTGCAGGGTGTTGCAGCTTGTCACAGTAGCACAGTGTGAGAGGGAGCCCAGGCTGGTGGGTCAAAGGGCTCGTGGTACCCCAGTTCCGGGTGGCACCCCAGGGGGAACCCTTCACAAAAGTATTATACTTAGGAGATAGTCACTTCCTACACAGTGGACCCCATCCATTTCAATGGGAGCAGGATTGGTCCCAGTGTGCACCAAATATATCAAACTTTGGCATAAAGAGCATGTCTCGCATAGACTAGCCTCCCCCAGTGCTTTCAACTCCATGTCGGTTCAGGGCTTGCACATATGAAATAGCATAAAACCTTCAATGAACACCCAAGGGGCAACTCCGTATTGCAAGCACTTGAGCTTGTTTTAGGTTTGAAACAGGGTTTGCCTCACTCTGCGACTGCGACTCAGCTTGTGTCAGCCAATGAAGCCTGGTCATCTCTGCCTGGAGTGGATGTGCTCTCAGGCAACGTGCTTTTGAGGGAGATAAATGAATGCCTGAATAAGGACTATAGAAACTGGGTCATAAATCATAGGGATCAGAATTTTAGGATTGTCCAATCCACCTTCCTGCCAATGCAAGGTAAAGAGTGTTTTAATATATGGAGAAAGTGAGAATATAAATCAAAGAAAAATACATAAAGGAGATGGGGAGTGGGGAGTGAGAAATTCCATCCTAGGATGGGAAGTTGTTGAACACATAGGGCCAGATTTTCAAATGCCCAACACTCTTAATTTAGGGCCTGGTTTCAGAAGTGCTCAGCACCTAGCCGCTCCTATTGTGACACTTATAGCCAGATTTTCCAAAGAGTTCAGATCCCAATATGCTCTCAGAGTGCTGCACTCTTGTGAAAATATGACTCTTACTCAAGTGCCTACATGGGAGCTGAGCTCTTTTGAGAAATTCTCGCCTTAGTGGCAAGTAGTGTGTAGTTGTGAGGAGGAATTTCCTTGTTTGTCTCTCATAGACACCAAGGAGAGTGACTCTAAAACCTGCACAGAAATGATGCGCTGTGTTAGCGGGTTACTGATGTTACCTTCTCACTGGTCGAGACAGTTACTTGGCCACGCGCTTCTTGGTTCTCTGAAATCCAGTTTCTCTGAGCCATTTCTTCCCATTCAGCTTGCATCTTATCCCAAAACTCTGTGTCTGACTAGGAAAAAAAGAAAAGGGGCAAGGGGAAGAAAGAGAGAGAGAAATCAAAGAAACTTTCTAAGAAAATGCAACCTGCTTTTGATCCTCCAAATATGAAAACTTGTATACAGGGTCATCTTCAAATGACTTCAGTTGGTGTTAAATTTTCAAGGTTGTAAGTTTAAGTGACAAAAGGTGAAAGGCAACAATGACAGATTTGAGGAGTAACTCATGTTTTCTGAACATCTTGGGGCCCGTTTGGTGTAAAATCCTTTTTGGATTAGGCAAGGCTCCCGTGTCCTCCTTAGTTACACATTTCAGTGACATTTTAGAAGTACTGTATGATCTAGGTGTTAGCACCCATGACTAGGAGCTCTTCCCCTAATTTACTGTATGATTTTAGGCAAATCACAAATTTTCATCTCTAAAGAAGAGTTCAGTGGAGCTTGAAAGCTTGCTTCTTTCATCAACAGATGCTAGTCCAATAAAAGTTACTACCTCCCCCTTGTCTGTCTAGTCTAAATCCTGATATTCTGAGCTATATAATCCTTGCCTATCTCAGAGCAGGGTTGTGAATCTTAATGTTTGTCTAAGTGCAGTGAGGTTATTGGCTGAAAGAATAAAATGTTGTTAAAAAAATCCTTCCATTAAGGTTCTTCTCTGAGATTGATTTCCATGCACCTAGTGTTAGAAACTAGCTCACAGTATCTAAAGGACACTGCTAAATCAGTCGCAAGTGTAAAACCAAACCAGTGATTACCAGCAGATAAGGATTTTAAGGGAGGTCAGATTTTTGGCTTTGAACTACTTGACATTATCCCTTTAAATCTAAAGTCATAATAGTGCGTATGATAGACTGGTGAATGATGCCATGTTTCTGTAGGAAAAAAAATCGGGGTCTTATCACTTCATCCCTAAAAAAGCCCATACAATCAAGCTCAATGCAGTGGAAGTGGTGGGAGCTTTGGAGAGGTGATAAAAGATGCTATATAAACTCAAGATTATTATATTCAGAACACGTTTCCTGTCTGTGGCTCTGCTTGCCATATTGCTTCTTGATGAAAATAAAAATAGGTGAGTCAGAAACAGGTGTTTATAGCACTAAATCATCAACTGCAGCGCTGGTGATAATCCATCAGCACTTGGAATGCTTAAAATTCTTAGCTACTTACTAATTTAAATTTGGAAATTACTTTCACAATCCGCACTTACAATTTTTAAGGCATAAACACTTCATTGGTGTGGCTAAGACCCAGTGTTTCAGGACATCCCCAAAACGTTAAGGAGCTGTATAGTCATTGTCTGCCTCTTCACTCCCACTACCCGGGAGAACTTAGGAACTCAGTGGAGGCAATGAGTATGTTTAGCTCCGAAGTTTTGGGAAGTTATGAGGCTCTGTAATTGATAGTTGAGCTACTCAAGCGCTCATGTGTTATAAATGTTAAGCACTCGAAACATTTATTCATTAAATTTTTAGTGGCTTAGCCATAAATGGGTTTCCTTTCACTCCACTGCATATCAAGAAGATGCCTGACCCCAGCTCCCATTGCCATGGGGAGCTTGGGAGTTAACGTTGTGTGGGCAGTGCAGCCAGTTGGAGTGATTACGAATGATCGGTGATTATATGGCTATGAAGAAGTGGCTGGATGTGTCAGCTGTTCATTTGCAGACTTTCTAACATTTAGGCCCAGCTCCACAGGAGCGAGGCAGAGGTTTTGTACCATATTCCTAGCAGAATTTGGACATGGAGACATCATAACTCACCATGGGAGGATCATGGTGTAGAGCCAGCATTGGAATTCCTCTGCAGCCCATGAGGAGGAATGTCTGGGAATAGGGGCATGGACTGGATGGTGCTATGCCCCAGTCATCTCTGGTTGTAGTATTGGCCTCTTGTGGCCATTGGCAGTGGGTATAATTTGCAGCAGCCCTCAGCCTGCTCCAAATTATGCCAGGGGATCATCTTGGTGTGCAGCAAGGACAAGATTCGGAAAGCACAAAAGCTACGTTTGAAGCTCCCATCCTGAGCTATGGAGTGCACTTTATGGTTGTAGCAGAGGATCTGAACCATTGCTTTGCTCTTTGTAAAGAGGTGAAATCTGGTGAGAAGGTGTAATATATTTTCCCTTGTGGTAGCTGGATTCCATTCAGACACAATTTTGACCTTCTCTCTTAGGATAAAGAGAGATATTTTATTTAATTTAGATTTATAAAATTCCCACAGCACCCACCCTAATCTCTTTGGCTGTTGATGTAACTTCAAATACATAATAAACATTCAGTTCCTTTCCGTCACAGGTCTGATTCTGCCACTCTCTCACACTGAACAGTACTTCTCTCCATGAATAATCCCACTACTTGGAGTGAATGAGGATGGCAGGTTTGGACCCTGATGTAATTAAATTTCATCTCTCATAGGTGTGTTCCTTTAACATGAAACCCTTATCACATAGGTAGCATATGTTCTCTGTGACGCAGGATTTGCTGTAGCTTAGGCTGCATCTTGTTGGCAATAGAAGCAAATTGTTACATAAAATGAATGCAGTAAAGTTTGTCCCTTCCAAAAAACCAACTGAGCACATATGATGCTAAAGAATGCAGACAAAACAGCTCAGAAGAGGATCATTATCCCATGCCTTTTGGTGTATTGAGCATTAATTCTCAAATTCATAGAGGAAGAGGTAGAAAGTTTAGGTACGTCCACACTGCAACTAAAAACCTGTGGCAGCGAGTCTCAGAGCCTGGGTCAACTGACTCAAGCTTGCTGTACAGGGCTAAAAATAGTGTAGATGAGCTGGAGCCCAGGCTCTGAAACCCAGCAAGGGGGAAAGAGGGTCTGTCTCTGAGCCTAGGCTCTAGCGTAAGCAGGCATGTCTACACTGCTATTATTAGCCCTGTAGCGAGAGCCCCGCAAGCCCAAGTCAGTTGATGCAGGCTCTGAGATATGCTGCGGTGGGGCTGGTTTTTGGGGGGAGGGGTTGTTTTGTTTTGCAGTGTAGACATACCCTTAGAGTCAGGATGTTTACTCAAGTGGAATAATGTAAATGAGGCTGTGTGATACAGGAAGAGAAATCCTAACATTGCATCATATGCTGTATCAGAGAGAGACCTGTAGTAGCTGGTTAAATATTATAGCAATGAGAACAGTGAGAAGTTCAAAGGAAAGGAAAAGAAGCAACTACAGAACAAACACATTAAGAGTCTGAAATGAGACTGAGATTTAGTGGCTGTAATAAACAGAGTGAAGCAATGACTGTGGTTGCCACAAATCATGCTGAGAAATACAAGCACCTCCGCAGAAAAAAAGAGTCTCCAAGTTAAGGTGCCACATTTTCACCATTAGGAGAAAATGGGGACAAGTAATCCCAAAGAAGAGTGCATCTCTAAGCCTTTGGAGATATGCTCCAGTTCCTTCTGCTGGGAAAATTCACTGGATGGCCCGATTCTTTTTTTTTTTTTAATGGAGATATCTCCTAGAACTGGAAGGGACCTTGAAAGGTCATCGAGTCCAGCCCCCTGCCTTCACAAGCAGGACCAAGTACTCATTGCACTGAAATTACTAAATGCTCAGTACCTGAGTTTGCTTTGGCAGTAAGGTGTTAGTGTGACTAATCTCAATGATTTTGATAGGACTATTTGAGGAGAGAGGTACTGAAGGTCTTGTAAAGACTGGAAGGCTCATCCTTATATGCACTCCTGATATGCACAGACGTATCGTGATCGAAGTATTGAGTCTGGCCAAAGCTCATCTGTACTAATGTGACTCGAAACAACACGTCTTCTCAAAGGAGTTTAGTGACAGAGGAACGTGCAGACTAAATCCAGGTTGAGTCAGCAGTGCAAGAATTTGACACTAGATATAAAGGGATAGGAAGGCTTGTGCTCATAGACAAGTGATTGTTACAACTTACAGGACTGTTTATATAGTCTATAGGAAGATGCACTATCTAGAGGCTAACAAGGCATTGCTTATGTGCCCGTCACTGCAGTATCTGGATGCCAATATCTGGTATTTTTCTCCATAATCATAAACAACAGCTTCAGACCTGTCAGAACTGTGCAATTATTGGTCATTGATGGTACATGCCATATTTCTTTGTGAATCAGGATTCCCATGTGTGTCATCCACTCAAGGAGAGAGAAGACACACATCTCTTTTGGTAAAAATTCTGAGTTTAATTCAGGGGTTGTGTAAAAATGTCCTTTATATAGGTAAATTTTAATACAGCCATTATACAAGCTGTCATTTGAACAACAGGTAATTCAGGGTACCAGTGACAAACGTTGATCTTCAGTATTTATAGCTGTGAAATTCTGCTTTTAGTATTATTTCTTGCAAAATCATTCATATGACCAATGACGGGGGGAAAAACTTATTAAAAATCCACTGTATTTTTAAAATCTAAGTCATGGGCCAAATTCTGCTCTCTTTACATGTTTGTAACTCCCAATGAAGTTCACATATTGATATGAAATATGGTATAATTTATTTATCCTTTGTAGTATTGCTGTGGGATATTAATGCTCCACTCCAGAGCTAGCTGCAATTTTGAGGTAGGTAAAGTGATCCCTATGTATCCCTGCATTACCTCCCAAGAGTTTTGATAATTGTTTTTTGTAATGTACTTTGAAATCCTTGGATGAATAGAAAGTGCAGAATATTTTTAAAGATTACATAACACCAGCTAATGTATTTCGGATATTAGCAGATTCTGTATCATACATACTGTGCTGACATTAACCCTGTTAGTCTCATAGACTTTAATGGGCCATCATGATAATCTAGCTTGACATGCACATCACAGGCCTTAGAACCTCACTGACCCACTCCTGTAGTAAGTCCCTAACCTCTGGGTAAATTACTGAAGCTCTCAAATCTTGATTTAAAGATGTCAAGTTACAAGGAATCCACCACTTAATCTAGTTCAAACCAGCAAGTGACCCGTGCCCCATACTGCAGAGGAAGGCAAAAAAACTTCAATCTGACCTGGGAGCACGGGTGGCTCTAGCTTTTTTGCT